GGAAGGGGACACAGAAACAAGGCTCTGGGTTATGGGTTTTGGGTTAGGGCCGTCTTGCACCAGCTTGGGACCAATTTGGAGACAGGTTTTGCCGTCTTGGGGTCGTCTTAGGCCGAATTGGGAGGCGTCCTGGGCCGTGTTGGGATTCTCTGGGGCCGTCTTGAGGCCCTCTTGGGGCGCCGTGGGGCGATCTTGGAGGCTCTTTGGGCTACGTGAGCCGACGGAAGCCGGGAAAGGCAACAATTGCAAACATGTTCAACAACGCAATGGAAATGTAATGAAATGCGTAATGTGCGCCTCTTTCAGATGTCCTGGGGGTCTTCTTGGAGACTTCGTGGGCGATAGTGAAAGCCTTGTCGGCCATCTTGAGGCCATTTTGGGCCGTCTTCGAACGTTCTTGGGCCGTGTTGGAGCCATCTTGGGCCGTTTTGGAGCCATCCTGGGCCGTTTTGGAGCAATCTTGGCCTCGAGAGCGCGAATCATTTTTTTGTGCGCAAACGCAACCCCGCCACCGTGCCTGGGTTGTTGATATGAGACTTGTGCGGTGATCGTTGGGATCTCTTGGGGGGCTTTTCGCGGGACTCTTGGAGGCAGTTTCGAAGCCTCTTGGGGGCCGTTTTGGAGCCTCTTGGGGGCCTCTTGGGGCCTCTTGTGGGCGTCTTGGGGGCCTCTTGGGGCCTCTTGGGGCCTTCTGGGGCCGCCTTGGGGCGGAAGGCTCGGATTGTCGGTTCGGGCTCCCCCTCTTGGGCACCTCTTGGGGCCGTCTTGGGGCCCTCTTGGGCTGTCTTGGGGGCCTCTTGGGCCGTCTTGGCGCCCTCCTGGGCCGACTTGGGCGCCTCTTGGGGGCCTCTCGGGGCGGTCTTGGGGTGCTCTGGGACCGTCTTCAACGCCGTGAAGGCCGAGAAGTAGTATGTGATCAAAATGTACGTTTTCCCATAGGAATTGACGATTTTCGGCGCTTCGGCCCTTCTGAGGACTGCTCTTGGAGGCGTCTTGGGCCGTCTTGGAGGCCTCTAGGCTCGTCTTGGGGGCATCTTGGGCGTCTGGGAGCGCTCGTTTGGCGCCTCGGAGCTCTCGTGAGCCGTCTTGGAGGAGTCTTGGGGCCTTCTTGGCCCGTCTTGATCCCCTTTTGGGCCCAAAAGAGCCCCGTGGTGCGCTCGTCTGCGGCCCGGGGGGGGGGGGTCGAATCTCCGGTTTGGGGTCCCAGGGGGGGGGTTAGGGGGGGGGAACTATCTCACACGCCTAGAGACCCACAAGGGGTCGGCGGATTTCCTTCCTCGGTCGATCGTGCGTCCTCGATCCTGGAGCTTGGATCTTCGGTCGACCCGGAATTTCCGATCTTCGTTCGGCGCCGGAGCATGGATCCTCTATGCTCGACCCCTGCTCGGGTGGGTGGTGAAGGGGGGGTGATCCAGAGGGGGGGGGTGCAGAGAACGGCCCGAAAGGGGCCCTTCAGGGTCCTCAAATGCCCCTTTGGGGTCCTTTTCTTCTCCTCCTCCTCCTCCTCCTTATCTTCCTCCTCCTCCTTCTTCTCGTCCTCCTCCTCCTCCTCCTTCTGCTCCTGCTTCCTGCTCTTGCTCCTGCTCCTGCTCTTGCTCCTGCTCCTGCTCCTGCTTCTGCTCCTCCTCCTGCTCCCCATGTGGGTCACCCCCCGATCCGCCCAAGCTGAGACTTCGCCTTCGCCTGGTCCTGGCTTCCCATCAGTCTTCGATCATCGGCCTCCGAACGATGCTGTGTCCTCGTGCCAGGATCGTCGATGCTCCATCGGCCCTCGATCGTCGAGCTTTGACCGGTCCTGGATCCAGGAGCCTCGTTTTTTCCGATCGCTTCTGGGCATTCGATCCTCGACCTTCTCTCGTCGATCGATCCTGGACGATCGAGGATCCATGGCCAATCGAAGATCGAACATCCAGGCTCGACCGAAAGCCGGGGATCGAAGATCAAGGATCCAGGATCGGTCAAATCTCACAGATCCAGGATTGACCGAAAACTAAGCTCCAGGATCCAGGATCGATGGGATGTGAACGATACAATGCCATTGGAGCATCCAGGATCCAGCATCGAGGTTCCATGATATTTCGAAGTACGAGCATTGAGGAGCGAGTGAAGATCGAAGGTCCAGGATCCAGAATGGGGATCTGGCAAAGATCGAAGATCCATGATCCAGGGTCCAGCGATTGTCGATACTCCAGGGTCGATCAACGAGCGAAGATCCAGGGGATGGTTTCCTCGTGAAGTGCCAACCGACACGTTGTAATATGGGGTGTGTGGTAGTACGTCCATCCTTGCACCCTGACGGGGGCAGGATCATCAGTCCTCTTCTCTTTCTTTTCCCCTTCCTCCTCTTCGCACGGATACGTCTCGGCATCTGCTTCCTCGTGCGAATCCCACTCGTCTCCGAACGCAAATGGTCCTCATCCTCACCCTCGTCGTCCTGCTTCTCCTCACACACACACACCTCCTTCTCCTTCTCCTCCTCCTCCTCCTCCTCCTCCTCCTTCGCACCAACCGTCAGCGACGGATAGTGGCACCAGCCGAAGCAAGCGGGACTTGGGGCTGTCGACTGCGAGGCGCAACCACCACGGCAATCGCAAGTGATGAGGAAGTGCAGGGCCACGTTATGGCCAGATTTTGGAAACTTGTGGCGTATTGGGAGCCTCTTGGGGCCAAGGGCACTGCCTGGCTCCCCCCCCGTCGGCCTTCCTTCGAGGAAGCGCCGTGGTACATCATCTCAGTTGCTCTCTTGGGGCTGCTCCGAGGTGATGATCGTTCTTGTGCCCAGTTGTTCTCGGCCATCTTGGGCTTCTCTTGGGGCCCTCATGTGGGCTCGCTGTTGGACCGGACTGGGGCCACACGCAGAAGAGGAGATCGGGTGAAGCCGCCACCGTGCCTGGGTTGCGGGTCGGAAGCATCTTGGATGCTTGTCGGGGTCTCTCGGGGAAGCTTCCGGGGAGCGTCTTGGAGGCAGTTGTGATGGCTCGTGGGGCCTGTCAGGGGACGTTTGCGGCCTCTTGGGGCTTCGTTTGGGCCTCCTCCTCCTGGGCGCTTTT